GCGGGAAGATTTTCCCCAACCCTCAAAAAAACCCAAAAAAAAGCCACTTTTCTCAGAGACCGTTCAACATTTTGGATTGAATTTTGTTTTATGAACTCACCATAATGAACCTAATAACCAGGCAAAGTTTCAACTTTCTGGGATTATTTTAAAGCCTACTTGAAAGTTTCACCAGGGTCCCCCCTTAAATGCTATGCACAATTTTGTACGAGACATCACAGTTTCTTGAGCACACGAAATTTTCGTGCAATTTTCGTCCAAAAAAACTGCACATTTTTCGCCATTTAGGTACCAAATTGTACAAAATTTTGTACATAAATTTGTACGAAAAGTTCCTGTGCCTAAGAACTGTGATGTCTCGTACAAATTTTGTACAGAGTCATTTAGTGTGTGGACTAGGTGCGCACACGATTACTAGCGTGGGGCACGACTCGGCTCTCGGCTACGCTCCTACTCGCTCGCACGCGCGCTCAGCTGGCGGCGCGGCGGTGCAATTTGACGCCTCGGAATGCGCTGGCCCGGCTTGCCCCAACGAGCGCGAGGCGGGAGGTGACAGATAAGAGAAGTGCGCCTTCAGGACCATCCGATCCGGACAGAGGGGAGCTTGAGGGCCTCACCGCGCCGGAAGGAGAAAGGGGAGGTGTTAAGGCTGAGATAAGTTACAGCTCATTTGAAAAAGGCGAAGGTTACTTTTTAGTTGCTTTCGACCACAAGAGACAACACCACTGCCACTTCGTGTCACCTTGCCTCTGAATAGCAATGAGCTGTGCCAGCCGGCGCAGATTCTAGTCGTCTCCTGCGGACCTTTAGCTTTCTGCTGTCAAGTAGATGACAAACATCGAGAGAAACTGGCCCAGTGGGCTTGAAGATCAATAGAGGTGGCTAAAACTCCAGACGCGTTTGGAGCCGCAGAGTCGCCAACAGGACTAAAACCAAATGTGTCATCGATGTGTCACCTTACGCTGGTATTTTAAGTGTAATAATGAACTCACTTCAGAAGCAATAACTTTTTTATTGCATTATTAGCGCCATGAAAAAGTTATACCTAAGTGCGTTAAATATTGAATTGAATTAGCGTATTTATCACTTTCCTTGCGCAGTTATCAATTTATCACACAATCACCGCATTATCCTCCTTATCGCAGCTATGAAACTTATCATATTAGAAATATCAGTGTATCAATGGAATTCTCGTTCGGAGAGCAATCCATTGATGGGGTCGCACGTTCGGTTCCAGTCCTGATTAACGACTCATGGAACTCAAAACGAGTCTAGAATTTCCGCCGGTGTTCTGGCCCACTATGCACCCCGATGGTCTGCAAAGATACGACCCGGAGCCGCATGAAATGGTGGCAACGTGCAAGAGTTTACCCCTCAGGTCGATTTGGGATCCACTGTTACACTCTGATTGGCACTAAGTTTTTGATTACTAGCGTATTGACGATAGTGCGCATTAACAAGCGTATTAACATTATTCTTTCTTTTAGATACATTGTTGTCAATTTCGTCTTGAGCGAGGGGGAAAGCACTCGCGTAATAGTCGGGTCACTCTGTCCGTAATATTACGCGTATTAGTGTGCGTGACTTAATAGTAGCGTAATAGCCGAAATTCTCCAAATTTGATCTAATTTAGGTTTTTTTTTATCCGTTTTCAGTTTAATCCCTATAATTTTGAGGCGTAATAGACGTAATAGTCGGGTCGCAGGTTTAAAGAGTGATTTCCCCCTCATCTTGAGCAGTCCGTGAAGCTTAATTAGTGCACAAAAACGTTATTCAACATAGATGAAATGTAGATTGAGGGAAGAGAGCGTATTGGTGCCGTGGTTCTTACCTGTATTGAGTCAGCCGGTACCCTCGCGACCCGACGCAGCCCGAACACAAACTTCTCTCACGGAGCCGCGACGCCAAACGCACGGCTGATTCACCAGCAGGACGCGCGAGTGTCAACAAGGGTCGACCGACGCGTGAGCCAACGAGCGAGAGAGCGGGACTCGAGGCTCTGGGACGCAGCAGCAGCCTTCGAGGACGGCCGCCAAGGACGCACTGCCTTGCGGTGTGTAGTGTAGTGGCGGTGTCGGGTCGCGTTGCGCCGCCGGCTCGAGGGAGGCTGGGGGTGGGGAAGTCACGGCGCGGAGGCGCGCGCGGGAGTTAAATTCAACCATCATTTCCGATTGGATGCAATCAGTGCGCACGGCGAGGGCGCGAAAAATCGGTAGTTTCGTGCACGCATGATCCGGAGAACGCAATGATTCGTGTTCAGACCAAAATATGAACTAAGGTATCCAAAAGATCTCGTGCCTAATAGCGCGCACAGTAAGAACTATACGAAGAACCGCTTTATGATACGAAGAAAATGAAGGCATTGTAAAATCTACGAAGAAATGCGAAACGCTTCGTATTACGAAGCAAATTGCTCTGTATTACGAAGCAAAATCCTTCGTAATACGAAGCAATTCTACAATGCCTTCATTTTCTTTGTAGTTTGCTTCGTAGGCTTTTAAGAGGGTGCAAGTAAGAGAGAGTGGGGGTACTTCCGGACTCTTTGTTTTTCACTGGTGTTATGTGAAGACAGCTCAAAACCTAAAGATAATCAGTTGCACATGGTAATTCCAAATCGCTAACGGAGGAGGGCAAGCCGTTTGGCTGCAGCCGCTTCACGAAATTTTAATACCATCAAAAAAGGCAAAAGCTACATCTCTACACTACAAACCTAACTGTCTACTTCTACTAAGTACACACAATTTTCACGTTTCCATCTTTACATGACCTGCACAGTTTCTACTACTTTAATCACTGCGTTTTAATGCTGCAAATAACTATTCTTTCCGTCGCTGCCTGGTGGGTCTGACTACACCTCCAATTCAGCGTCGAACTGCAGCAGCACGACGATGTAGGTGCAGAAGCACCCCGACACCTGCATAACAAGTGAGAGAAGGATGAAGTCATGACACTATGGCGTTGAGAAAAGACTGACAGGGGTATGCGACGTCTGTAAAGCCCTTCGGAGATTATTGTGGATAAACCTGTTACGTTTAGGTGCACAGAATAAACGTTAATAAATTTACCAACTTTTCCCGTTTTATGGCAGTAGCTACGCGCATTTACGAATGCTTGCAAGTTTTCACTTTAAAACGCACACTTGGCAAGTACGACACGACACGCTTTCGAACATACTACTTGGCATTTGACTTGTATTTATGCACTATATTTGCGAATAAGTTCATCTGATACTAATGATCGGCCTCCTGCCTAAAGGATATTCAAAATAAAATTACATTCACTTGACGGCCCTTCGTATGAATTTTTCTTTGAGTTAGGAATATATGGCGTGTCAAAATGTATCGTAGAATATCAAACAGCTAAAGAGCAGGTACCGTACCACTTTCATCGTTGTTTTGTCGAGGTAGAACATGCCGCACACATCAAAGCGCCTGTGCTGACGCCGCATAGAGTAGACAAAACATTTCACCTGAACATAATAAACACACAGATAATGATGTGTTTCGTGCAGACTGAGGTCACTTTGGGTTGTTTGGGAGGCGAGTATAATTATTTCTTCAGGTGGATTTGGGTACTTTTGCTTCGACACACCATCCGCAATGACCACACTAAATGTCATGGGACTTTTTTTGTCCCATGAATGATGCAATTTTAAGTACATCCGGTGGTGATGCAATTTTGTGTCCGCCCGGAAGGACAAATTGTCTAGTGAAAGTACAATTTGCAGCAGGCGTCAGACAAATTGTGTCCCCACGGTAAAAACGATACCTGGGATTCCCAGGAGCCCCATGTTATAAGGTATAGGAGTTTCCAGGAGATTCCTGGGATTCCCAGGAAGCGTTTTTACCGTGCCTAGACGGGAGCAAAATTGTATCAGCGTTGGATGTGCTTAAAACTGCATAAATCGTGGGACAAAAAAAAGTCCCATGACACTTAGGGTGACGTTACAAACTCTCAATTATCTGATATTTTAATTTTTAGTGCAGAAATATTTTGGGGGCCTTCCGAAAGTGATGTTTGAAGTTGAAAAAGAGACGGGTCAGACCGAAAACAAAAAGGGCTCCTAATCCACATCCCTACAAAAAGACGATCGTAGAAATTACTTGCTCTAACTACTCCAAGATCAAAAAATCGAAGCAGCCTTCTCAAATTAGAACAAAGCTTTGCAGGGGAGGTGGTACATGAGGATTAACATACCTCGTCCTTGGACTGGCCCGACAAATCAGGTTCCTGCGCCAAATATCCTAGAAGAACGTTGGATATTCGAGTGTGCTGTAAACACAATTCTGTGGCGGTTAACTGTGATTCCAAACGTCAGTCGTGTTAAGTCAATTTTCTGGCGCGGAGCAGCCAGAGCGCCGTCCAGGAACAGTTTCTAGCGACTAAAATTTTCCTTAGTGGAACTTTACGAATCTTTGAGTTACGGTAGACTGTTGTCTTTCCTCCAGCTATTTCGTGTACCTCACTGAGAATGAAAGGGTAAGAGTCATAACCGGGACTGAAATTTGGGGTGAGTGCGCACAATCTTGATCGTACTCTCGGGAGCAGGACAGCTCGTCCCGACCAACTCGCCCACGTCCCACTCGTCCCGAACCTATCTCGACCCGGGCCATTTTTCCAACTCGTCCCGAAACATGGTTGGTCCCAGCCTGGTTCAGCCATGATGGCCGTCCAGGCTGGTTACTAGTGCATACAGCACAGCGTGGTGAAGCTCACACACTAAATCATTACGGAGTTATTTTGTGCAGAGCTTTTGTGCAGAAATGAACATGCCTGGGGCGGATCTTCGTGGACTTAAAGATCTACAGTGGGTCGGGCCAACAAAGACATGAATGCTCGAGGGCGCTCCAACAAAATCTGCTTTTGGGTCAGCACTCCAAATCCAGTGGCAAGTTTCCTCGCCACTGGAGTGGCGTCTTTTCCAAAGCGCCAAAATTTGGCGTTCCCATCCCTGGTTTCCGGATTCCATGCCAAACTTTGGCGTTCCACAGAGAGCGCCAAAATTTGGCGTTCCATTCCCCAGAGCACCACAGACCAGAACGCCAAAAATTGGCGCTGCAAAAGAAATGCAATAATTTGGCTTGGAAAGCAATACCCGTTCACAGAAAAATAAATGTGCATACAATAGTTTTCAGTGCTTAGGATCCCCAGTTCAAATCACAGCAATTATACTATGAAAAGTAGAACTGGACCAGTAAAATACAAGACCTGCATCTGTATTTTCAGGTTACGTGTCAATGCCGCTGACCAACTATTGAATCACTTTGGTTTGGCCAGCGATTCCTGAGACACTTGGAAAATGGTACTCACATCAACACAAAAAGCTGGATATCACTTAGTCACTCTCTCTTGATAAGGGGTTGACACAGCAAGGGGTCTCAGTCCATTCTCAAATCAGGAAGACTTCAGCTAGCCTCAGAGCCTTAGCCTGGCCCTGCCGCATCACACCGCTCCCTCTTCAAAATCTTCCTCAGAACAGCACTTGAATAGTTTTGAAATGGCCCGAGAGCACTCAGGCCTTTCGAAAGTACTGCGACACGATAAAACATGACAGACACACACTATCGTTGACCGTGGCGAGACGAAATGCACACAAAAGTAACAATTTGAATGTTTCGTTTGTCTTAGAGAAGTAGCCGTGTTTACTGTTTTTGTTGTTTTGCTTTTGTTGATTGCTTATGCGCCCTACCTGTTGAGTGCGAATAAAACGTGGAGGGTGAATAACATGTTATTCGCATGCAATATGTTATTCACCATCCACGTTATTCACCCTCCATGTTATTCGCACGCAATATGTTATTCACCCTCCAAGTTTTATTCGCACTCAACAGGTAGGGCGCATAAGCAATCAACAAAAGCAAAACAACAAAAACAGTAAACATGGCTACTTCTCTAAGACAAACGAAACGTTCAAATTGTTACTTTTGTGTGCATTTCGTCTCGCCACGGTCAACGATAGTGTGTGTCTGTCATGTTTTATCGTGTCGCAGTACTTTCGAAAGGCCTGAGTGCTCTCGGGCCATTTCAAAACTATTCAAGTGCTGTTCTGAGGAAGATTTTGAAGAGGGAGCGGTGTGATGCGGCAGGGCCAGGCTAAGGCTCTGAGGCTAGCTGAAGTCTTCCTGATTTGAGAATGGACTGAGACCCCTTGCTGTGTCAACCCCTTATCAAGAGAGAGTGACTAAGTGATATCCAGCTTTTTGTGTTGATGTGAGTACCATTTTCCAAGTGTCTCAGGAATCGCTGGCCAAACCAAAGTGATTCAATAGTTGGTCAGCGGCATTGACACGTAACCTGAAAATACAGATGCAGGTCTTGTATTTTACTGGTCCAGTTCTACTTTTCATAGTATAATTGCTGTGATTTGAACTGGGGATCCTAAGCACTGAAAACTATTGTATGCACATTTATTTTTCTGTGAACGGGTATTGCTTTCCAAGCCAAATTATTGCATTTCTTTTGCAGCGCCAATTTTTGGCGTTCTGGTCTGTGGTGCTCTGGGGAATGGAACGCCAAATTTTGGCGCTCTCTGTGGAACGCCAAAGTTTGGCATGGAATCCGGAAACCAGGGATGGGAACGCCAAATTTTGGCGCTTTGGAAAAGACGCCACTCCAGTGGCGAGGAAACTTGCCACTGGATTTGGAGTGAGAACGCTCCTTCCTCTTTCTGCCTTCCTAAGAAACTGTAATATTGAAAATGAAAGCTTTAACTCAGTGGCTGCATACTGGGTTTCAAGTTTGGAATCAGGAAGATTCCTAAAAGCAGATATGTTTTTTTGGTGCACCCTAGAAAACTTCTGTTTTTGTTGTCACAACGCGATGCACTTGTTCATAGGACCCGTCGTAAAATACAAGCCAATACCAATCAATTTTTCAAAATATATTATTATTGGGACGATTTAGGACGGGGACCACTTGGGTTGGAACGGGATAACCCCGGGACGTATGCCGGGTACGAGTCGGTCAGGACGAGTTGTCCTAGACCCGTACTCACAGCAATATCACTAGAAAAAACGTTTCATGTCATGGAAAGCGAGAATAATGATGGAAGTTCGTAATTCCATATCGCATCAATGGAGACGTCGTATGTTTGACCCGTGACTTGCATCAAAATGCAACACTTCTGAACTGTTGCATGTTGTAAACTTTGCGGGCCGAAAAAGGCCTTTATTTGTGCGCACTCACATATCCTTCGGTAGCCCTCATTGCTTTGATATTGGTGTTTGTTTCAAACTGCCCCTGTTCCAAACTGCTCCACCATCCCTTACTCGCGAAATGTGCGAGGTTCAGTGTCTAGGTTTTGGTCCGCACGGTAAAAACGGTTCCTGGATTTCCCAGGAGCTCCCTGGAAATCGCCTATGTCTCTGCCATAGGCTTCCTGGGAAAACCAGGTTCCGTTTTTACCGTGCGAGGCCGAGGCATGGAAGCTGGGGAGGCTCGGGCTGAGGCAATGTACACTGCTCAGAAAAATACTGGGCCAGTAGCTCATGATTTAACGACAATTTTGATACGAAGCAACGCAAAAATGTGACGGTAGGGAAGATTCAGCCTGCGTGATGCGTTCTGTGCGCAATCACGGGTATCAGTTCGCAAGTGAAACAAAACCGCGGCCACAGCTAGGCCGAAACAGAGCCCGGTGCCTCTGCCACCAGGACCGCGGCCGCGCACACCCAAGCTTGACCTGGCCCTGAGCTGAAGCAAAGCTGTTTTATATGTTCACCTTCGTGACGTCAAATCATTTCGGTAATCAAATCGTTTTTAACGCAAAACTTGAAATTTTAACTTTATGTATTTCTAAATTTATGGTATACACACAAGTAGATTCAACTTCCCAGGGTACTACACTGATTTCCGTTTCCTGAGACACAGCGACCCATGTAGCTTCGAACACGGTGCAAACCAGGCCAAATTGCGTTCAATAACTGTCAAAAACCCTGTGCTCAAACCCTAGTGTGGCCATGGGACACTGGCTATCACTGGGCAAAAGGTGGCCATCACTGGGCAAACTGTACTGATATTTTGGTCAATTTTTTCTTAAAGAATAAATTTTATATTGCTGCCTTTCAACCTTGGGAACCTTTACTCTATCCTTCTTCTATGTTCCTGAAAATTTTCATACCAGTACCACGTGTGGGACACTTTGTAAAGGGGTTAAAGGCGCATCAGTGCGCTAAAAGTGGCCATCATTGGGCACCTTACCCAGGGTTGCCACGCTTTTGGGATTTCGGATTTCCCTGACATTTCCAGGTTTTTCAGAGGCAATTTTTGTCATTTTCCCTGACATTTTGGCCAATTTTTCAAGGGAGTTGTCGCGCTTGGAAAGGATATCCCATCCGGCGGATGGGCACTTTTTGACTTTTTGGCAAGAAAGTTGAGATTTTGACCTGTCTTCCACAAATTTCCCTGACATTTCCAGGTTTTCCCGGTTCTCCCTGACATTGTTTCATTTTCCCTGACAATTCCAGGTTTTCCCGGTTTTCCAGGTGCGTGGCAACCCTGCTTACCCTGAAAAGTTTACGTCGCCTAAACTATTGTATGAGTCAACGCCCTTTCAGCTCACCTCGTCGTCAGCCCACTGGGATGCGGAGCACCAGACTGCGAGCAAGCTGCATAAGGTTAGGCCGAGCGAGATGGGAACGGAGGTTCGCCACGACTCTAATTCCCCTCCAATGAAGCATTTGACCCCGTGTGCGAGTACAAGCACGGCCCAGTAAAAGTGGTAGACGATCTGAAAAGAAAAGACTTCATTACAGTACACTAATTGGAAGAAACGAATTTCTCGTAGCTTACACCTTGACATAGGACTTCTTTTGTCCCACGATTTATGCAATTTTAAGCATATCCGACGCTGACGCTGATACAATTTTGCTCCCGTCTGGGGACACAGTTTGTCTGACCCCTGCTGCAAATTGTACTTTCACTAGACAATTTGTCCCCCCTGGCGGACACAAAATTGCATTACTACCGGATGTGATTAAAATTGCATCATTCATGGGACAAAAATAGTCCCATGACATTTAGTGTGTCTATCCTCACTCCTCTCCCCTCCCGCCCTCCTGGGAACCCTGCTCCGAGTTGCTGTTCGACCGGTCAGCATCCACCAAGCCTCAGTCTCGCAACTATAAGTTTCATTCCCAAAAATCTCAATCATTGTCAAAACGACAATGGTGACGAGGAATGTCCGCGTCGAACTCCTACTTGAGGTGCTTGGCCTTGAGGTGTGTTGGCGTTGTCCCCCCTCCCGCTAACTTGATACTTTAAGCATTTGAAAAGGGACAATAAAGCTAGAGATGTGCGAACATGTTCGGCTCCGAACGAACACGAACGAACCGAACACATAATTAGTTCGATCGGTAACGAACATTTAGTGCTCGGACACGAAATGTTCGTAAAATTATTGTAAGGTGCGTTCTAGTCTGAACAACGACCCGATACACTACACGGACACGTTTGAACAAGCAGCGCAGAACCGGGATTCTATGCATGTCGCTCGACAAGTTTCGTGTCCCGTAAACCAGGGTAACTTGAGACAATATTTCATGTTTTTTGGACCGTGTGTCCACAACACTTCTCTCACCAACCCGAATCCCAACTATGTTTAATTTCACATGATTAAATTCGGTTTGGACCCCATGAATTTTTTGAGGGTCACCTAAACTGAGAGTACCGTCAAGGGGGGCACTGCAAAAAAAATCCATCTTAATTTTAAGAAACTAGTTTGTGAAGCAGTTTACAAAGATTTTTTGCTATTAAAAGTAAGAAACTTTCTCCTCTTAAAACTAATGACAAAGTTTTTAAAATTCATAGATTATGGTTTATTAAAATTCATAAACAAATTTGACTAAAGTGGGAGAAAAGAACCTCTATACCGACGTCCGATTTCGAGTGTGGATGTCAGAATTCTGATATGCATCTTACATCGTGTCACATTACAGTGTTGATTGTCAAAAATTATTCAAGGCACGAAGACCTGATACTTATATGTCTTCCATCTTCCGACTGTGCCTCAACAGAGGAGGTGCCTGGACCTAACCTAATGGCCGACAGCAGACGTCAGCGAGTGGCAACATGGTTGTGCGTTTTTCTCAACTTCAGTGGAATATTTTGTTAAAAAATTTGAGCTAGCGGCTAGAGAAGACATTTACTAAGGCAACAGATGGTATCATTTGCCAAAAGAAGTTCTTTTAGAAATACAAATAGGAAATTCTTAATCGGGAACGGACACGGCGCTCTAAGCGCCACCTAGCGGCAGGTCTGTGAAACCTGACCTTGAACCCAGCGGCTGACTGTGGGTCATACCGTGTGAGAAGTGGCTTGTCGACAGTTTGCGTGAAGTAATCAAACTAAACCTTCGGTTTACGTTGAATGTGACAGCTATCACTGAAGCGTTCAATTTTAACCTCAATCAGTTAGTTTCAGAAATCTAGTTATGAAAAGTCATCAGTCATGTGGATTTTAAGAAACCAATTTTTACTTTTGGCAGGCAATCTTAATTTTGACAACCCAGTTCCTAAGTTTTAAAAGTGAATTTGAAATTTACCAACTATTTATTACTTTTCATTTTAGTTTTCGTAAATGTAATAAAGTATAGCACTTTTCACAAACTTTTCTGAGTTTTCACATCATTTCAAAATGTTATTAAATTTAAGACATTTTCATGTCTTAAATTTCAGAATTTTTTTTTGCAGTGGTAACTTGGGACAGTCTGCCGCCCTGTACAGATTGTTGGTGCTGCCATTCAGCAACGGGGGTTCCTGGCGTCAAACCCGCGGCAGGGTTTTGTTTTAGAGGCCTCAAGGCATGCGCGGAAAGGTGGAAGAGGTGCATAACATCACAATTGGTATTTGAGAAACTGGAAACTACATAATAGGGTTTTTGACAAATATGTCAATCATTGACAAGTTGACCCTAAGTGCAAGGAGTGAAATGCAGATTTGGCCGATTAGTCTCTCTGGGTTGTTAGGTCATACACAGACAATAACGTTCGCAAAAGGGCGTTGATTTCAGTTTACCCGTCTTCGGTCCAGACGTCAATTCATCAAAAATCGAAATTTTACGGGGTAACTTGGGCCAGTCTTTTCCTCATGTTTCCAGCTGTCCTAGCCTTCTAGGAGTTGACTGACCCGGTCCCTGACATAACTTAAACTTCGGATTTTACGCTGATGATGGAAAGAGATGCCTTGCTCTGCAGTTTTGTCTTCTGGTAATCCATATTTAGAAATTTTCAGAAAATGCTTGGATAATACCAGTAGAAAAGAGAGTTCCACGTAGAGCCCTAGATATAGTCCAATATCGGTCCTACAATAGTTCCCAGGCCTGAATTCTTGGTCTACATGTTGTTTCTTAAATTTATTACATCCATTAACATCAATAGATGCATGGAAATGTAGCTAATTACCTACTGTCCCAAGTTACCCCCGGTCATGGGGGTATCGTAGTGCAAATTTAGAATGTTGAAATAATAGGGTTGAAAGACACCACAGTCATTTGGGCCCCAACAAGACGTGTTTCGAGTACCAAGGAAGACTTGTTACACTTCTCTAAAATTGTTAAATTTACCACAATTGAAAAATCGTTATAGAACTGACCAGCTTGGTCCTGACCCGCCGTTCAAACGCTTAATCGTCTTTCCAAACAAGTCTGAAAAAAGTGCTAGGGCAGTTTTGACTTCCGAATGTGCCGAGCCAGGTGGCAGCTCCAAAAAGGTGCCCGGGTGGAACGAACTGTAGTCAAATCTACAATTTTAAAATGCATCTACAACTCTACAATAACTGCACTGCGAGAAAAGATCACGGTAAATCCTGTACTGATTACTCCAGACTTCACCGTACTTTTTTTAACGGGCAATGCCGTCGTGTTTTTACAGGCAATGCCGTACGTTTTTTTACAGGAAACGCCGTACTTTTTTTACAGGGAATCCCGTTCATTTTTCCCCGGCAATCCCGTACTTTTAATACCTATCAAAAACTGCTATAATTTTGTTCAGTCGGTTGACCCTCTTTTTCCAAGTTCCTGATGTACGCAACTGCTGAAGTCGGACTCCTGGACCCCTCTTCCGACCACTCGTTGGAAAGGTCTTGACGAGACCTATTGAAAGGTGCAATAAAATTTTTCAGTCGGTCGACCCCCTTTTTTCAAGATCCTGATGTGGACACTTCTTGGAAGCGGCCTTTGTTGGGACCAGATCTGGTCTTTCCTACGGCATGGACTGTGCGGAAGAACGGTAACTACTGTTAAAAGACTACGGAATATTTTGTAAAACAAGTACGGTAAATACTGTAGACTGTACGGAGGATACTGGTTTTTGAAGTACGGTAAAGTTTGGCAAAAAAATTATCCAGGATTTACCGTAATTTTTTCTCAGAGCGTGTACTGCATCTGGACTCAAATTGAAGTTTATCTAGTGTTACAAATGGCAGGCTGCATACAAAAAAATATATACTTAGACTGCAGTTGGACTTATGTAGATACAGCAGTTTAACTGTAGTGAAACTACAGTTAAACTACAGTTAACTACAGTTTTCTTGCAAATGAACTGGTAGTTTTTTGTAATACTGCAGTCGAATCTGCAGTTTTGACTACGGTCATCTCTCGTTTTAAAAATAGCAGTTAAAACTGGAGTTGCGAAGTATCTTTTAACTATAGTTTTAAAATTTATTTTTTAAAACTTTATTCCTTGTTCTTCGGGAACTCTCTCCCACCCACCCAACTCCCTTCTCCTTCGTTACTCAACGACTTTTGATGATGAAAGTTGAAGGCGGTGATGGTATTCGAACGACGGTCCTCCGGGTCGTGGAGCGGAGGACTTGACCACTACGCTGGCAGGCGGGCGTGTCCGGAGACGTGCACGACCCGGACCACATGACAAGACCCCCTCTCGTGACCCACTGATCAGGCAGTGCAGTTCAACTGCAGTTTTAATGCAGTTTAACCATAGATAATGTGCACTTGGCTATCACAATTTCTACGCAAACACGCGTTTTATACCGTAAGCCTCACAATTTTATTAGTGGATAATTTTTATAAACGAAAGGGCCAAAAGAATCCGTATTAGAACCGCTGCCGTTGCTTTATCTTAACGAATTCCGCGCAACTGACTGAACACCAATATTCTGGTTATTCAAACACACAAAAGGAACTAAATTTGGAGAATTTGGTGAAATTATTTGGAATTGGGACAAAATAGAACACTGATTTGGCTGAACTATGAAGTTGCTTACACAACTGCAAAAAAGGGCAACCAAAATTGTAGTCAAACAACAATTTAATTACACTCCCGAAGTGTGCTTGCTTTTTGCAAACGGAAGTACAATTTAAGTTCCGACTACACTGGAGTTAAAACCGTATTTAAGAACTGCACGTGAGACTGCAATTTAACTGTACCTGTACTGCTGTTGAAAATGCCCTCTATACTACGTTTCGATCTACAGAGTTAAACTACATTTAAAGTACTTTTAAAACTGGCGTTTCTGAACTGCAGTTTATGACTGTAGTCTGCACTCAGTCAAAACTGCACTCCCTTCCGCCCGGGTGGAAAAGCAGAAGTGTCTGAAGTTACCCTTGCTGTCTCAAGTTACCCCGGTTTAAGGTCCCTTCTAAAAAATTATAATGATAAAGACAAATCATAGCGATTATTTTGCGGAAGCATATGAGAACTGAAATGAACCAATCTTTACATTTTAGTCCACATGGTAGTATTTCTTGTTAAGAGGACTGTTCCAGCCTTGATCGTTCGGATTCAAACAACATTGTGTTCGGTTCGGTTCGTTCGAAAAAAAGTGACGCGTTCGGTTCGGTTCGAATTAAGTTTTAAATTTCCTGTTCGTGTTCGTTCGGATTCAAACACAGCCTGTTCGCACATCTCTAAATAAAGCCTCGCCAGTCTGTCAGGGTCACCTTGAAAAGATTGTACACCGTGAACACGGCGTTCAGCATCATAATCATATCCAGCAGGGAGCGTTGACGCACTCTCATGGACCGCCAACGGTGTGCCAAGTTGACCTCTGAAAAGAAAAATATTAAAAGAAAATTTCAATGCTAATTGCATTTTTAATTTCTCGGCGTTTTACTTTATTTTTCTTGGTGAATTAAATTTAGACGGGTGGCACGATGGGTCCGCGCCATTAGTGTGTGTTTTTTTCTTTTTTTTTTTTTTTTTTTGGGGGGGGGCAAAAAAACAATTGCAAACCCCCTCCTCTTGACCCCTAGATAGCCGCCTGAAAAGTAGGCAAAAGCAACACTTTGACCCTGCAAGGAGGCAAAAAGTGCTACCCCCCCCTCCCCCCTTTTCGTTTTTATATCAATGAAAGACTAAGGCCTTCCACGCGTAGTTTGTGTGCCGTTGTTTTACCAGTGACGTGCCTGAAAAATACTCCCTTGGCTGCATCGATGACGGCGAAGACCTTCCACACGCACAGGAGCACCTTCTTGTTGCCACCGCCGAGGAACGCGGTGCACTTCCAACCTGCGACCATGTTGCAAACGAGCAACACTCGTTAACATTGAGATTCAATATTTAAGTAAAAATGTTCTTTGGCTGAGTTGTAACTTTTAGTCGTTGGCTGAACGACAGCGAAGCCCGTTACTCGACACGGTAAAAACGGTTCCTGGTTTTCCCAGGAACCGCCTGAATACTGCCTAGGTCTTCGCCATAAGGCTCCTGGGAAAACCAGGTACAGATTTTACCGTGCAACGAGGTTTCACAAGGTAGGTGTACGCCAGACCGTGTCTTTTCGTAATGTCGTCTTGTCGCCATGCTGCGCCAGTTCCGAAAATCCACGCCTGGCATTTACACCTACCTTGGCCTGCGGCGCTGATGTGCCTTCGGCCGGCTCCTTTCCCAGACATCGGCACACTAATCGACGCGATTGCGATCCGGACGGTACAGCGTTTGGCTTTTACATTAATGCAGGGAAGGGGTGGTCGAAAACACTATTTTCGAAATCTTCAACGTTGGATGGCGCATTTTTCAGCTGGAGGGCTTTTCCCGAACGGTGTTCGCCAGTGAACTGGAAGTCGGGCGAAGCAGCCAGCGAGGGAATATCTCCGGCGAACGATGCACCGGGTGAGTGAGTGCACAAGTAGGCGCTTGATAGCGCTGTGTTCGAACGCCCGGGACACCGCGAGATGCCGCGAGCGAACCAAGCGACTGTAGGGAATGAACAGCGCGATGAAGAAACAGGCTGAACGACGAAGGGATGCTGTCCGTGATCAGGCCCTGCATCGTGGTCGCGATTCGCCCAGTCTTCGTCCGCAGCGGATGAACGTTCGCTCGCTGGATGTTTGCGTTCACCCATTAAATCGTGGTTCACCCGTTCGTACACGAATGAGTTTGCCCGCTGTTCAACTGCTGATCACTCGACGATTCGTTCGATTCCGCTACATCCGCTGTTCGCAAGTCCGGTCGTTCTCCGTGTAACGTTCGTTCACCTGATCATATTTCCGGTTTATTTTTACAGTTCGGGAGGAGCCCTCCTGATTCCGATAATGCACTTGGTTTTGGAAAAGAAGTAAAAGTAAGGGCACTACCGGCTCTAAAACACGAATTTTCAAGGCTAGTAGTGCCCTCAATTTTTCGTCTTTACCAAACCATAGCACATATTCGGAATCAAGTTTGAACTAGTCTGGATTTTGTTCCTCTTGAAATTTTATCAACTTCCGTTCTAGCTCTTCTTGGAAGTATCGTATTGCAGTATTTTCTGATATTATTTGAAAAACCACATTAAATCATGAAGGACTCTAGGATGTACGACAACCTCTACACTGAGAAAACCATACAACTACACTGGTGGAACAAAGGCATTAAAATTATGCCCTTTAAGGGCGTAAACGATTTACGACCTTGAACGGCATAATTCGTTAATGCCTTTGGGGAGGGCATTAAAATTTTGCTTGAAATTCCTACACCTTAAGAGTATTTATACCCTTGAGGGCGTAAGTTTTATGCCTTTATTTTAACAGTGTACAATGTTATTGTTGATGGCCTTCTTTTCGTTTTCTGCAGTCCAGCGAAACTTACTTTTTCCTCTAATGCAGCAGTTGAAAGGACTGCTTCCCGATGCTGCTTGATAAGCATTTCGCAGTCCATCCGTAAGTCCGCGACGAGCATTGCAAGAAAGATCGCAGGTCCCAGAAACATGATTAAAGTTGCCTGTTGAATTCACAAAAATAAATTACGACAAGAAAGAAAATGGATTTTTCTCTTTAGAAACATGCAGACGCAAGAGATCTCTTAACTCAAAGCTTCAAATGAAGGCTGCCTTTGACTCCAAAGACGTTTGTGGAAATGTGCTAACAGTCAAGTTCGAATTTGAACGAACACTTTCAACGTCCAAAGCCTTCGCACGAACACAACTGAACAATTACAAAGTTTTCTCGAACCCATATATTTTGGTTCAGATTCGATTGAAGAGGAAGTGTCACTAAACAATTTCGAGAAGTATTGGGGTGCCAGAAAATGGATACAGATTTTCATACATATAATAGAATAGGGTACTTCGGAGGAAACCTAGACCGGAAGTCAGCGACAGAACCGGAGAAACAAAAGAGCGTCGCGCGGCCGTGCTGAGCGGTGGTGGGGGCCGGAATAGGCAGAGTGGGGGTAGCATGCGCGCGCCGCCTTCACCCCCACTCCGCCGATTTCGACCCCCACCACCGCTCAGCACGGCCGCGCGACGCTCTTTTGTTTCTCCCTTTCTGTCGCATACCTCCGGTCTAGCCTTTCTCCGAAGTACCCTATTCAGATGGCAGTTTGAAGTTATTCCTTTGAACTTTTCCGATCGAACCTCGTAGAGGTAAGTTTTTCTGTATGTTTTCTGACGTCACGTACGAGGGCGCGCGTTTGGGGCCAAACTTAATCCGCTCTAAGTTCCGTGGGACAGACGTGCCCCACTTCACACATTCCCCCCCCCCCAATACGCTGAGAAAATGATCCAGAAAGCGGAAGAAGGGAATAACTCGACTTATCTCCAAATTGAGTTTTTATTATGTCGTTGTGCCTTAAAATGGTTTGCATCATTGCACTAAATTACTTAACTCAATTCTTAGCAGTTAAAGAGAAAATGCACTTCGAAAAAAGATGTAACTCAACTTGACCCCTTTTTACACTCACAATTTAGCGGAAAATGGAATCATCTCAACCAAAGTCAACATGACTCCGTTCAACGTATTGTTGATAGGAGACAACTCAACTTGTGTTTTTATGAATCCATTGTAAAAAGAATCAAGTCAACTTACACCCCTTTAATTTTAAGAACTTGAACGGAAAAAAGAGCTAAGTCCAAAAAATGCACTAGAGGAACCAACACACTCTGCTGACTATAGTTCCACTTGACATGTCTCCAAATTCCACTTCGCTTAAGAAATGTAAGTTGAGATGACTCTATTTTCCATTTCAGCGGAAAGTGATAAGTCTCAGATATCCTATACGCAGTGACTTGACACTCCTGATGTTTATCTCAAAATTTAACTTACGTTTTTTTAACTTGTTATCATCTGTAACATTCCATTGTTCAGTTTTAGATTTCCCTGCTAACAGTTTTTTGTTGCTCCTGAAAAATGGTCAAAATGGAGTTATCTCCTTCTTCCGCTTCCTGGATCAAATTTGAGTCGTCACTTCACGACAATTTCAAGGCTAATTTTACTTGCAACAATGTCATCAAAACAATTGATGATATTGTTGTCACGCCCATGGAATAAGTATCGGAGGTTTGATGAAAATGTCATCAATTGCATAATCTGAAAGTGACGAAAATATCATCCACGTTTTTGTCATAAAGTGACAACAAATTTTCATAGTGCACTGTGCCAAATAGTTTAGTGGCACTTCCTTTTCGATCGAGTCTGAACAAAATCTATTCGTTCGAGAGAACTGTGTTCAGTTCTGTTGGTTCGAAGGCTTTAGACGTTGGCAGCGGGAGACTGTCCCGCGCTTTCAACTGCAGTGTGGATATGCAACGACCACCAAACAAGCGATACTTTTCTCATGGTGTTATACGATTAACATTACCCTCACTCTAAATGTACTTGCACAATTTCGTGCGTGATCTTAGACAACTTTTGACGGGCGGACTTTTGCGTATACATTTGTACCAGGTGGGTCACGGACCCCGTGTGAAATGGTTACTATGCAACCCGCTCGGAGCCCTGCATCCGGGCTTGCCTATGCGGCAGTCGGCGGGCGGACGGGAGGACTAGGGGTGCCACCCGTCTTGCCCAGCCCCAGTTGTCGTTCCGCGAACACCTCGCGGCCTCCGCGAGGGCAGTCCGCGGATTCCGCGAGTCCTGCCGCGGGCTTCGCGAGTCCTCGCGGGCGTTCCGTGTCCTCGCGGCCTGCCCTCGCGAAACCCGTGAAAGGACTTGCGAAGTCCGCGAGAGGACTCGCGAGACCCGCGGCGGACTGCCCTCGCGGAGGCCGCGAGGTGTCCGCGGAACGACAACTGGGGCTGGGCAAGACGGGTGGCACCCCTAGTCCTCCCGTCCGCCCGCCGACTGCCGCATAGGCAAGCCCGGATGCAGGGCTCCGAGCGGGTTGCATAGTAACCATTTCACACGGGGTCCGTGACCCACCTGGTACACAGAAACATGTACAAATTTGGAAAATAAACACGTCTGAGTTAAATTGTTCTAAAATAGTACAAATGAGTGAAGTGCGCACTTTGCAAGTGTCGGATTTCCCCCGGCACTGATCCTACTTGAAAATCTCACCTCCATCCAGAGCCCAACAAAGGAATCCCAGTGCATCAGATCGAATGCGATGTCTGAAGAGGATGCTTTACGTGCTAATGCCCCTGCAATCCACACAATGCTAAAGGCTTCTGCGGCGACTATGAATAAAATAAAAACCTGAAACCAGGCAACATAGCGATCATAAAATACTACCACTTCCGACTAATGGTTGATTTTCAGCTCTATTCGGGATTCCAAACTAGTGCATTGCAAATTCAAGCGTGAGACAGTCTCACACTACCAAGTGCGAACCGCTAGGTCTCTCACCCAACTCTCAC